CCCCAAAACCCCAAAACCCCAAAACCCCATAAGTTAAAATCTATTATTTTCAAAAAAAGAATAATTTCCAAAAATAATTAATTTATTTATATTTAATCTTAGATCACGATAATATTAAATATCAAACATTAGTGCTATCTTGTTCAAATTGTCTAGACAAGTGCACAGATTGAACCGTTCGAGGCACGGCTGAAGTTTATATTGTTATTCGATTAAGAAATCTATCTAGTCTCTCGCTATCCAATCTAGACGATTCCCGCATTAACACAGATCTAAGATCATCGTTCGCCGAGAAGGCATTCATTCTTCTGGAGTTTCTATATGTGTTTCAGTTTATCAGAGATGAGTTTGAGAAAGAGTCATCCTCGCAGATTGCATAGAGAAGATGAGATCTATCTTCAATAATTGAGTCTCTCTTCTGCAAAGACTCATCATCTGTCATGGTATCCTTCTTAACTGATTCTTAAAGGAGGTATTTTTAATATGTAAATAATGACCATCTTATTGACTAAGACATTATGGCAATTAAAGCCAATTCAGGGACAAAGTAGAGTATAGTATATACATACATTGATACACTAATGTCCTTCTCAGCATTAAAAATCACAGTAAACATATTCATCATGTAGGGTATTTATCTGACTATGATGATGAAAATCAGTTGTATGAAAAACTTAGTGATTCTATAAGAGCTCTTTTATATTTGATTTACTTCTTCATCATGATACCTATTAGGGTTTCTTTTTATTTGCTATTGGTAGTATGTGCAAAAGAAATAGCAAGAATAACCCAAGGTGATGACAATCCAAAGATTGGTTATTTAAAGTCCAACTCCAAACAAAATTAAAGCCAGTTTGTACAGAGTAATATTTTCTTGCTACAGAGTGCAAATGTTATATGATTAGAAAATTATAATTGCTGTCAAGTAACTCAGATCAAACAGTATAAGAAATCTGCAAATATATAATCCAAACTCACTGAGTTTGACTTGTTTATGATCAAGCACTAGAATGATCCACCTTAGAGCATTTAAAAATATAGATAATTAGAAGAAGTAGGTTGCTAAATTCCCACTAAGATTATAGACACAAATTAATCCGTCATCATCTCTGGCTACAACAGCATAAGTAGAAAGTGAATATCCCATTAAGTTAATGCCAAGTAGAGCGATTGATCTTAAAACAACTTTGATTGAAATAGATAGCACAAGCATGATAAAACTCCAAATCTAAACCATATCTTTTTGCTTTTTAAATCTTTAAGCATAGACAAGTACGTAGTAAATGTAAAATCCTAGAGCAATAGCCTCAATTATCAATGAAAACCATATAAGTAATTCAAAATAGTCAAAACTATCTTCCATATAAATGAAATATATGTTTATTATAATAATTTATAATAAGTATTTCTGTCAAAAAATCTTATTATTTGGAACTGAGGGGTTTTGGGGTTTTGGGG